CTAGCATGCATGAGACCCTGGGTTCAATCCCCATATAAGGGAAGGAAAAAAAAAAAGGACAAGAATAAAGAAGATCCTCTCCCACACAGAGAGACTTAAGAATTATATAGGAATAGAAATAATAATAAACAGCTGGCACTTACTATTTCAATATTCTGGGCATTATTCTAAACACATGAAGTGTATCATCACACTAGATCCTTGACAATTTCATGAGGTAGGTACTATCATTATCTACTTAGAGATAACAAATCTGAGGCACAGGGAAGTTAAGTAACTCATTCACAGCACAAGCTAATAAGTGATACAAGTATAACGATCAGCTGGGCATTCTGACTTAAGTGGTTTTTCTTACCTGCTTCACTAAATGGTAAGTAAAACAGTGAAATGTTGGTTGAGAGACAAACAGAACAAGGTAATGGGGAGCCTAGGAACAGATCTGTGGATAGACAATACTTTGACCTATAACGGGGATGAATTACTCATCAGTATAAGAAAAATGAAATGGACTGAGTGGTACATAATGCTGCAGCATCTGATAACCAATATGGAAAATGATCAACTAAGATGGTATTTCAAACAATTCACAAAATTAATCCCAAGATGTATTAAATATTAAATACTGAACTAAAAGACTAAATTAGGCTATACTGAAATTAATGACTTCTGTATTTTTAAAAAAGGCATATCAACAAACTAGGAGAAAGTATTTGCAACCTATGATGCACAGTTTCAGGAAGCAGAAAAAAGTGTCAAATCAGAAAACGCAAAATAACCCACTAGGAAAAGAGGGGCAAGAGATATAAACAAGCTCAAAAGCAGAAAACCAGACAAGTGTATGAACAGATTCTTGGCCTAACTAAGAATCAATGAAATATGAATCAGTGCAGTAATGACTGACCGTGTAATACCTATCAAACTGGTAAAAATGACCAGCTCTGGCAATGCAACATGCTGATGAGGATAAAAGAAATGACACACAGTGATACACGAACTTAATCTGCTCCACAATTTTGAAGAAGACGCCGCGTTCGTGCTGGTGTGGGTGTGGGAAAGACAGCTGCCATCATGTTTGTCACCCAATGTAGAGTTTCCAAACAAGAACAAAATTTTGGCAAATGCTTTTGTTTACACACAAAATTACTCACGAACAAAAGCATTCACCTGGGGAACCACTGCATCAGCACAGCAATTAGCATAGCACTGGAGAGCAACCGGGTAAGGATGAAGAGATGAAAATCCAATGGCCCGGCAGTTTCACTTTTAGCAGCCAGAAAACACTCATACACTTACAAAGATATATTTAAGAATGCTCTCTGCAGCGCTGTTAGTAATGGCAAAAAAGCAGAAGTACCCACCAGTTTACAGACCCACCCAGAGTCCATCAATAGTGAGTAGATAAACTGTGCCTTACTCATACAATCAGCGTAACACACAATTAATAGAGCTCTAGGTTTGATCTCCCACATGGATGGGGGAAACGACTCTGTAACTCCAAAGGGGAAGCTCTCAAAAATACACTGTTGCATTACAAAAAGGCAAGCTGTAAAGTAAACATACATTAATTTACTCTTTAGAGATATGTACCCATACATTTTTCCAAGAAAAAGAATATAGGAGAGTGATCACATCAGGATTCTAGCACTTGGAAGATGGGTTACCGCAAATTCAAGGCCAGCCTGGGCTACACAGCGAGCTCAAGGCCAGCCTGAACTACACAGCAAGACCCTGTCTCAAAAAAAATCTTAAAGAAAAACAAAAAAAGGGGGCTATAGTTCAGTGGCATGGGTGCCTGCCTGGCAAGCGCAAGGTCCTGAGTTTGATTCCTGGTACCAAAAATAAATAAATAAATAAATAAATAAATAAATAAAAGAGGCTTGGCAGTGTCCATTATATTTAAGCCAATTCTGGCCGGGGATATAGCTCAGCGACATAAGCACTTGCCTGGCAAGCCTGAGGTCATGAGTTTGATTCCCGGTACAAAAAAAAATTCTGGAGCAAGTTTTTGTTTTGTTTTGTCTTTTTGAGACAGGGTTTTGCTATGCAGTTCAGGCTGGCCTTGAACTTAACTTTGTAGCCCAGGCTGGCCTTGAACTCACAGGGATCCTACAGCCTCAGCCTCCCAAACACTGGGATTATAGGCATGCACAACCATGCCAGGCTGCAGCAAACATACAAAATGCTAATTTCTTTTAAATCTGGGTGGGGGTATCTGGATACATGTTAATACTCTTAAAAATGTTTTCTATTTTATATCTTTCTACATTTGAAGTACCTAACTTTAATTTTTTGAAATTTTACATATCTCATGATATCTACCTTCATCTACCTAGTTCACAGAGCTGCTGGGAGGTTAAGAAAAAATACTTCAGTGTAAGTGCTTGGAAAACCATACACTACTTAGCAGGTACTCATGATTTGTACAATGAAGTCAATCTTACTTAAAGCCTCATTCCATTTTTGGTCTATGTCAATACTACCTTGATTACTTGCCTTTTTCATTGGATTTGACTCTGAATAATTTTTGGCTATTGATATAAGTTAAATGCAACCTCAAACCATGAAAACCTGTTATCACCAAAAATATTCACTCTAATCTGTTCTTGTAAGCTTGGAAGAAAATGGCAAAAAGGGAATTCAAAAATGTTCTGTTTAATGCAGTATCAGGAGAACGAGTTTAGAGTCTCTCAAAGTGGCTGTCTGAAAGGACAGAACACCCAGCTGTCCATCAGTGACAGAAAATCACTCTCATTATGCTCTTACATTTACGATACTGTCCTACTTCTTCCATCTCCCTTTTGACATTTCAAGTCCGGTAAGAACAATTCAGCAAAGTGATTAAGAGTGATGGCTTTGCAATTTTCAGGCTACTTAAATTATATCCTGGCTCTGACCTTCGCTACCTGTATGATCCTGATTCAAATTATTTAACCATCCTACTTTTCTCAACAATAAAAGGTTAAAAAAAAAGGAATTAAAAAAAGGAATTATAAAAGTCAAATGAGATAATGCATATAAAATATTTTAGCCCAGTGATTAGCACAAGTAAGACCAGGACGATGCCACTGCTAGGCTAGGGGTACAGCCCAGTTAAAGCCCTTGCCTGACATGCATAAGCCCCTAAATCTGATAAACAACACAACAGTACACATACACAATTTCTGTTGGTTTTTTGGGAATTTTTTTTTGTGTTGCTGTTTTTGCAACAGCTATGCCTCTTATTTCCTTGGGACTGCCTTCAGAAGACTTCACGAGTTTAGCAGTCAGCAAGGTTTTTCTTAAAGGGTCAGACAACAAATATTTTAATCTTTACAAGCCATATGGTCTCTGTTGCAACTATGCAACTCTGTGTGCTCTTATAGCCTAAAAGCAGTCCCAGATAATACATAAATGAATGCATATAGTGGCGTCCCAATGAAACTTCATTTACAAAAGCAGAAAGCAAGACAAATTTGGCCTACGGCCAGAGTTTATTGATCTTTGATTCAGATTAATACATATACATTACGTGTGATTTGTAAAATTTTTTCTTATTATTTAGGTGCTGGGGATTGAATCTAGGGCCTACACACATTAAACCCACACTGTCCCATTGAGTTATACTCCTAGCCCCTATACTGTAAATGCTATTTGCATGTAATCTGAATATACCTGCATAGACTATGAAATATGTTGTCAAATTAAAAACATACTACTCCTACACTTAGTAATGGGTACTGCACTATTTTTCTCTTTCACACTGTTCTTTTTTTTTACTGGGGGTACTGGGAATCAAACTCAGGACCTTGTGCTCGCCAAGTAGGCATCTGTGCCACTGAGCTATATCCCTGGCCCTTCTCTCACACTGTTCTATTTTCTGTAACTGACTTGGTAGCCCTGTAAGTACCCAACAGACACAAAAGAAATTGCAAAATTCAGAGACATCAAAGGTCTTAAGACAGTTTTTATCACACCGTAGTTTTGTATAGTTTGTACAGGCATAAAGTCAAAACTATAAGGAAAAAGCAGCAGGGTTCTTGGTCTTAAGTTTCTTTTCAGCCTGCATTATTTTCTGGGTTTTATCTGTTTGCTTGGCAGTACTGGGAATTGAACCCAGGGCACTCTACCACTGACCTACACTCCAGCTTTCTGTTTTTTTGAGACAGGGTTTTGCCAAGTTGTCCTGGTGGGACTGAAACTTGCAATCCTCCTGCTTCAGCCTCCCTCAGTGCTGGCATTATATGTATGCACCAATAGGCTTAGATAATGCCTACATTATTTTCTAATTTGCTGTAGAAAAACAGTAATGAGAAAAGAAGCGCCTACGACCATCTCTTTAAAAAGTTTATAATTAACCCTTTTGGCTCCACAGTTACAGGTTCTCTACAAACCATGGAAATCATATCTAAGACAAATCTCTGTATATTCCTAGTAGCAGCACTTGTCTGTAGAAGACCCGGCTGTCATCCATCCTGCCCCTGTGGGTGGAGGGCTTCGTAACAAGGACAGAGGATGGCAAACCCGAGTCTGGCGGACTCACCTGCAGCTGGATGCTCAAGGCCCTGTGCTGCACGGCTGTGGCATAGAAAGCATGGTTCATGTGGGCCTGTTCCAATTGCTGCCTCCACTTGCTCCACCACACCCTGAAAGAGCAAATCAGACATGGAACAGGTCAGACAAAAAGCCACCCTGAAAAGAGAAGGGCAGTTAGGGCTGTGTCTCAGACCCTCAGCTCAAGTCCCTCTCCCTGGCAGTGCCGTTTGTGGACTGAGATCTATTACCTTTGCCACTAAAAAAAACAATCAAGAACCAGCCCTAGAATTTCCAATGAAGGGATGAACCCTGATGAGATCTAGCTGTAGGCAATGTAAATGTGCTCTGGCTTACACTGTTTATTTTTCTAGAATTACAAGTTACTGCCAACACTTAAAAACCAGGAAGACCAGGGATATAGCTACGCAGCACAGCGCCTGCCTGGCAAACACAAGGTCCCGAGTTGATTCCTGGTACCAAAAAATAAAATAAAATAAAATAAATTCAAAAGATTTGCCGGGCATGATAGTGCATGTTTGTAATCCCAACACTTGGGAAGCTGAGGCAGGAAGACTGCCCTGTGTTTGAGGCTAGCCTGGGCTACACAGTGAGTTCAAGGCCAGCCTGAACTACGTAGAGAGACCCTGTCTCAAAAAGACAAAAAATAAATAAGGAGATTTTATTGATTAATTTGATTGATTAATGTGGGGAAAATATGAAATCTGGGAATTTTATTTATTTTTTTTTTTTTTTTAACTGGGAATCGAACTCAGGCTTTGCACTTGCCATGCAGGCGGTTGGGCCACTGAGCTATATCCCCGGCTAAAATCTGGGAATTTTAGATTTCCAGTCCTGCTGGATCCTTTCTCCTCCTACTGTCCTGGACAGGTTTTCATTTCAGTCTTGGCTTCTTTTCCACTTATTTTCTACTTTGCTGTAGGAAAAGAAAATAAGAGAATCCAACCTCTGTTTTACAAAAATGCCTTGCTTGGCTTGGTCACTCTACTCACAAAGGCTCCTCCCTTCATCCTAGCAGAGAGCACGCTTACTTGTATCACTCACTGCAAAATCTTCAGCTATCTTTCATGATCACTTTTCGTTTTTTTGTTTTTGTTTTTGTTTTTGTTTTTTGTCTTTTTGAGACAGGGTCTCGCTATGCAGTTCAGGCTGACCTTGAGCTCACTTTGTAGCCCAGGCTGCCTCCAACTCCCAATGATCCTCCTGCCTCAGCCTCCCGAGTGCTGGGATTACAGATGTGTGCCACCATGCCCGGTTAGATCTTTAAAAGTAGGTAAATTCAATATGTCCACAATGCTGACGAGATGACGTACTGAGCAGCAGTTAACACAAAGGGTGGGGGAGCCCCAGTTTTGCCAATCACAACTTAGCTGAGCTCAATTTACTCAACATTTCTGAGCCTTACTGTACATCTTAATCTGTATAATAACTGTTCTTGAAGTTTATGGTAAGCATTAAGCCAGCTATTTCACATTAAAAAATTAATACACATAAACTTACAGGGTTTAAAACATAGTAAGTATTCAATCAGTATTAATTATGATTATGTGAGAATTTGAACTTACAGTTGAATAAATTAGTAACAAATGTAGTAATAGGTATTGACTGTGTTCAAAAACACTGTTTTCCCCTGACCCCTCATGGCAGTTAGGGGAACTTCTTCAGAGGGGAGAATATTATAGACAGCTAAGTTCAGTAAAAATATTATAGGCAGTCAGACAGGGCGGGGTCCCTGAGGGAGTCAGTGCCGAAGATGAAAACACATCAAAACCGTGGATTTTCCTAAGGGATAAACAGAGCTTGAGATTTTCCATATAAATAAACCATTAGCTCATTAGCAGTGGGCCACCCTCTCCCACCAAGACTACAGATTATAGACAAAGGTTCCCGTCATCCATATGCCCTTGCTACTTACTATTGGATCAATACTAGCTAAGTGGCTATATCTGTAATCTTATTGGTTGGTTATAATTTGGCCCACATTGTACCCACCCCTTGTGACTTTGCCCTATAAAACTTTCTCAGAGAAGCGGGCACGTCGGCAACCTACTTTCGGGTCCCCTCCTGTCTTTCAGGAGCTACGTCTCTCAGTAAATCTTCCTACTTTAAAAGAAAAAAAAAAATCACTGTTTTAAGATGGGTTAAAGCAGCATAAATCTGCTAAGGTAAATGACAGCCGCTGATCTGCAGGACAACTGAGCACACTTACCGTAAGACACTCTGCTGCCTAAACTCCAGAGCAGTGGTCCGCATCTGAAGTTTGGTCCTACGAACAGCCACGTAGATCAACCACGACTTCCAGGCCAGCCGCATCTTTTGCATTACATCTAGATACACCAAAGAGATGTTTCTTTTAAAGGGGTGGGGGGAGAAGTGTGCAGTAAAAGCTCAAGGGCTCTCTACTCATCCTGCCTTTGAATAACCACATCCCTCTAGTCTTCAAGTGCCCCCTATTGGTAAAATTGTGAAGTGCTACAAAATAAGGGTGCGAAGACCTTGTAAGTAACATTTATAAAGCATGTACCAGACTAAAAAGACCTTCACATGAAAATCAGTTATCTGTAAAAAAAACACTGTGCAGTATTTACAGATAAAACAATGTGAGTGAAAAGGCAGTAGAGAAGTGAGAAGGGACAAGGATGAGACAAGACCGGCAGGGGCGGATCCCAAGCACGCTGCTGAGCCGCCCCAGCTGGCAAGACCACCTTGCTTTAGGGTTTCTACGGGCTGCAGGCAGCATGGGAGGGGCCCTAGGAGGCCCTCGGGCCAGCACTGGAGGCGGTGACCTTTGAGGGTGTGGCTGTACACTTCACCAAGGAGGAACGGGCTTTGCTGGATCCACCCCAAACTTTCAGAATGTGGCTGCCACAGCAAGAAACTCAGGAGACCAGAAATTGAAGATGAGTACAAAAATAGCAGGAAATGTCTAAGAAGTGAAGATGTAGAAAACTACTGTAAACATATACATTATGGGGTCAAATGGAAAATAGCTTTTCTTACTGTTTGCTTATTTTGTTTGGAAAATAGGTTTTTGGACACCAGATACTACTGTGCATATGAAACTTGTTGGTATAATACCAAATGAAAGCATTTCCTATAGAAAGCCCCGGATTGCTCATTCATCACCAGATGTGCCCATCACAGCTAACACGACTCAAATCATATGAGTACTAGAGATCTTATGAGAAGCTGTCTAACTGTAACAAACAGGAAAACCTGCGCTGACTTCCAGTCCTTTCAAAGCATGGCGAAAAAGCCTATGAATACTGTATATGAAAGGACCCACACTGGCCAGAACCCTATGTATGTACACAATGTGGGGTGTTCATCGTACACACGGATTGTTAAAGACATGAATGAACTCATACTGGGGAGAAACCATATGTATGCAAGCGATGTGAGAAAGCTTTCAGCACACAGTGATTATAACATACATGAAAGAAGATACCCTGGGAAGAAACCCTATGTGTATAATCAATGTGGAAATGCTTTCAGCAGACCCAGTAGATGTCAAATACTTCAAAGAGCTCACACAGGAGAGAAACTATGTCTGTAAACAATGTCGAAAAATAGCTTTCAGAACACACAGTTGTCAAAGACATGCATTCACACTGGAGAGAAACCTTACACTGCATATACAGGCAATGTGGGAAAGCTTCCAGCACATGTAATGCTTGTCAAAGACACAAACAAACGCAATAGGGAGAAACCTTACACACGTAAGCAGTGTGGGGGAGCTTTCACCATACACGGTCACCGTCAAATACATGAACGAACTCACCCTGGGGAGAAACCCTACGTATGTAAACAAGTATAAAAGTCCTCAGGATGCACTATGACTGTCAAATACATGAAAGAACACACACTGTAGAAATGCTATGCGTGTAAGTAACGTGGGGATGCACTCACTACACACAGGTATTTTCAAATACAGGAAAGGAAATACACTGGAGAAAAACACTGTGTGCAAGCAGTACGGAAAAGCCTTCTCAGTGAGCATCACACAAATTAAAAAGTCACACAGGAACTAACTGAACGTATAAAGTGACGCGCGCTGACATGAATCAGACTGCAAAGCAGCCCTGTCCCTGCGAGCAGCACAGACATCTTTCGGACCGCACAGGGATCACTACATACATGGAAGATTCACAGTGCAGAGTCTGAAGATAGGTGAGCAACTGGGGAAAGATTTTATTTATTCACTCAAATACATGAAAGTACTCACACAAAAGGATATAGTGCGAAAAACTTCAGTTCGTCCACTTACCTTGAAATACATGAAAGAATTCCCACTAAAGAGAAACCCTATGTAATTAATGTGAGAAAGCATTGTAATTCCTATAACACCACAAAACATACAAATTCACAAAGAGAGTTCCTACAGAGAACATGACGTCTTCATTTTTACATGACCTTTCATAAAACATGGTATTGCATCCCTGAAATCCCACCACTTGGAAGGCTGAGGCAGAAAGATCCCTGCAAATATGAGGCCAGCCTGGGCTATATAGTAAATTCAAGGCGAGCCTGAACTACCCAGTCTCAAAAAGGCAAAAATTAAAACAAAACAAAAAAGATGAACTCCGACACATGCAACAAGTTGAAGGTGTCTCAAGTACATTGTGTTAAGTGAAAGAAGGCATAGTGAAAAAGCTATCTATGATATCATCCCATTTATATGACATCCTAGAAGACAAAAAACTACAGCTGATAGAGAACTAATCCGCAGTCATCAGAGGGCATGTGTGGAGAGACGATGCTAGAAATGGCGGGCATGAGGAAGTTTTACTCCAAATGATAGAACTGTTCTCTCATTTTTGTTTTTGTTTTTGTTTAGTGGTTTTGGGGTTTTTTTTTTTGACATGGTCTTGCTATTCCATGCTGGCCTCAAACTCCCAGCAATCAAACTCCCAGCAATCCTCGTGCCTCAGCCTCCCTCCCAAGTGCTGGGATTACAGGTGTGCACCACCGTACCCAATTTTATTCTCACTCTTGATAGGGGTCAGTTACATGACTATGCGTTTGTTAAGATTTACAAAATGATATGTAAAAAGAATAAGTCTTACTTTATGTAAGTTTACACAAGTAACAAAGTAACGTAAGTTACTTACCAGGTAAATACTGAAACAATGTGTCTGGTGTTATAACTAAGAGGATTGGGTAAGAGCCTCTTATACTCTGGGAATCCCAACAGATCAAAGAAGAACCCACTGTGCTGCGAGAGATCAGTCAAAGCTATACCAGGAAGCTGACATTTAAAATGGGGCCGAAGAGGGTTGGTGATATAGCTCACTGGCACGGTGCCTACCTGGCAAGTGCGAGGTCCTGAGTGCGATTCCTGGCTTTAAAAAAAAGAGAATAAAATAAAAATAAAATGGGCCTGCGCTGGGGATGTAGCTCAGCGGCACAGCAGCGCCTGCCTGCCAAGCACAAGATCCTGAGTTCAATACCCAGTAGCAAAAAATAAATAAATAAATTGGGCCTGTATACTCCTGGTTTGTCTTCAAAGCACATATATCTTTCAATTTTTACTAAAATGGGCTTACCGTACAATGAATGTAATTATTATAGACTACAAAAATGTACTAATGAAATTTTTAAAAAATTGAGAGCCAGGCATGGTGGCACATGCCTGTAATCCCAGCACTTGGGAGGCTGAGGCAGAAGGATCATAAATTTGAGGCCAGCGTGGGCTACATGGTGAGTTCAAGGCCAGCCTGGAACACATAGCCAGACCCTGTCTCAAACGAAAAAAAAAAAAAAAGCAACAAAAAATCTTCAAAAATTAAAAAGTAAGCCAGGCATGGTGGCGCACGCCTATAATCCCAGCACTTGGGAGTCTGAGGCAGGAAGACTGTTGCAAGTTCGAGACCAGCCTGGGCTACAAAGTGAGCTCAAGGCCAGCCTGAACTGCACAGTGAGACCCTGTCTCAAAAAGACAGAAAAAAAAAATTTGAAAGTAAGGGCTGGGGATATAGTTCCGTGGCACAGTGACTGCCCAGCGAGTAGGAGGTCGTGAGTTTGATTCCTGATACCAAAAAAATAAAAAATAAAAATAAAATGGGCCTGAAGAAGAAACAGCAGGAGCAAAGATGGAAAGGCAAAGAAGTACATGTCCACTGTGGCAAGGGGAGAGGGTGCAGGGCAGGACAGAAGGTGAAGACTTTGCATACCCTATGAAGGAACCTCAACTGTATAAGCAAAGAGGAGCCCAATAAACTTTTATGCAAAGGAGTGACATGATCACATCTATGTCTTAGCACTCTTGCACCTATGTGTATGATAAGAGGGAGAAAATATGAGTAACTGCAGGGAGATGACTGAAGAGGCACACATACCACTCTGGCGAAAAAGATGAAGATTACTCTCAGGTAGCGGCAAAGAAAAGATTACAAGTGACGGCTCAGAGGGCTGTCTTATAAAAATTAGATAACCCATGATCTGAAGCATGAGAAACAGACAAGCCAGGCCTAAGTACACCTTCTCACTTAGGAAAAGTAGGAGAAAGCAAGTCTCCATGGTTACGGGAGTTGGTAAGCTGTATTTGAGACACTGAGTGGTTCCTGGATGCCTGCCCGACGTTCACGTGGAATGCAAGCTTTCTGATTATTTTGAAACTCCAGGCCTTTTTCCCTTGGACTTGCCGCTTCGATGTCCAGACTCAACTCATGAAGAAACTAGACAACAACTAAAGTGAAACTGGCCGCAGGATCATCAGGGGTAACCCGAGCAAAGCAGAGTAGAAATGCGCATGGTGGCTCTGCTCGAGAGTCTCTCTGCGACTTGGCACAAGGCAGCTAGACAGACAGCAGCCCCAGGTGCCACGGGAGAGACAGAACCAGCACACTGCACCGGCAGGCCAGAAACAGGCAGTTCACATAAACTACAGTTAAATGAGCCTTAAATGCCAAAACCATGCCATATGGGAGAACCACAGGGATCTGACCACACAGGAGTCCTCAACTGAAGACCACACATTCTGAAAACATGAAAGGGAACCAAACATGTCTTCGCTTTGCCCTGGTGTTATCCTTTCTCACGCAAGGTGTGTTTGTCCTTTGAAAAAGCTCCCGTTACAGTCATTTGGGCATTTTTTGTAGATGCGCGCTTCCTTTTCTCACCATGATCCTTGGCTTTTCTATACTTGTTCCTCATTTCCCACTGCTGCTGCACATAGGCCTTCCAACTCTGAAACACCAGGCTGTACCAGTAGTATCTGAGGAGCCAAAAAAGCAAACGGCATTTCTTTAAGACAACAAAGCAACTCCTGATCCAGCATACCCAGTTCGTTCTTCACTCTCAAGAAGCTAACACACAAGCTTTTGACACAAAAAGCCCCATCAGCACCTAAGGTAAAATTTCTTTTCGGACCATCACAGTGAGACCTATTCTCTCTGAAGGAGAGTCATCCTTCATATCTTAAAGTGTCAGACTTTTCAAAGAGCACCTTCACTTTCGGCACCCACAAGGACACAACATTTGGAAGATGACTCATCTCTTAACCACTCGAGTCACCCCTGCTACGCAAAGCATGACTTCTCCTTTGCAGCGAACGACATCCAGTGGTACCTTTTCCTTTTCCTTCTCCTTGATACAGATACCATATACTTTAATGTGTCTGTTTTTAACCTGAAATAGCCATAAATCAGAACTCTTGCCCCAAAGTACCTAAACTGACTATAATAAGAAAAAAATACCACTGTAAAGACAAAGCATATATACATTTTATTTTTTAAAAGAAGAGCTAGACTTTAATCCCAACACTCAGGGAAGCTCATACTGGAGGACCATCGAGCTCATTTCTTGGTGACAGCAAGACCCTATCTCAAAATACAATATTTTTAAAATAGCTGGGGATGTAGATTGGTACAAGACCCTGGGGTTCAATTCCTGGTACCAAAAAAAAAAATCTAAAATATATATTTGATATAACTTTCAATATTTTTGTTGTTTTGCTATGTTTTTTGACACAGTCCTCATTATATAGTTCAGGCAGGCCTCGAACTCTCAGTAATCTTCCTGCGTCAGTGAAGTGATGGGATTACAGGCATGTGCCACCATGCCCAGGCAATTTGCAGTTTTTTACCCTGCTTCCATCCCTAGGGATATGAACGTCAAGAACCCAGTTCATTTGTTTTTTCTTCAATTTAACACAAATCTTATGACTCACTCTACCACTCAGCAACTCCTGACCCCTCTCTCTTTTTTCACCGTTCTTTATTGGGTATATATTTTCTCCCAAAAATCAACATAAATTAGAACTTATTCTTTTAAAAATAGTATACTTTCAGGCAAGTGTGGTGGCGCACACCTGTAATCCCAGCACTCGGGAGGCTCTGGTAGCAGGATCACCTCTAATTTGAAGCCAGCCTCCACTACACAATGAGTTCAAAACCAGCCAGAACTACATAGAGAGACTGTGTCTCAGAAAACAAAGCACAGTCTCAGAATTAGAAATTACACAGAAGTGAGAATCAGTAAGAAAAGTCCCATTCAAAACATTAGCATGACCAACACGTAACAGTTGTCTGAATGAGAGGGGTATGCATGCATGCCTGAGTTTAATTAAGACTTTGAATTTGCTTACTCTAAATAGGATTTGAAAAAAACTGGAAGTGATACAAAAAACTGCTTCTCCTGATCAGAAATATGTCAAAAAGTAATGTGAGCCATGGTGGGCATGGTGGCACGTGCCTGTAATCCCACCACCTGAGAAGCTGAGACAGGAGGATCACTGCAAGTTCAACAGCAGCCTAGGTTACATAGTGAGTTCAAGGCCAATCTGAACTACATAGTAAACTCTGTCTCAAACAAACAAAAAAAAATCAATGTGCGAATTTGTAAAATCTGTGCAATACCGAAGTAAAGTGACAAAATCTGACCTGTAGTGACAGTCAGCTCGAACACAGAGTTTCCACTCTCGATGAGAAACCCACCATTCTTCTTTCCAGCCTTCAAAGGTCTTCCGTAGTATTCTCTGCTCATAATAAAACCTGAAGTAACGGAATAAAATGGAGCTAAATATGACAAATACCTATTTCCAAATCAGTTTCACACTGCCCTTGTTTGTCAATGAAACGTTAACTCCAAAATATTATTAAAAATAGACATATTTAACTTTTTCAGGTCAAAAACTTAGACCTGCTTAGACAGAGACAGTGGCATATGTCTATAATCCCAACATTCTGGGAAGCTGAGGAAGGAGAATCTCAAATTCAAGCTCAGCTTGGGGCAACTTTGGTGACTTAGAAAGACCCTGTCTTATAATTTTGAAAAGTTTAAAAAGCAGGAGAGATGTAACTCAGTGCAAAGGCCCTGGGTTGAATCTCTAGTACAGTAAAACAAGCAAACAAATACATAAAAAACTTAGAACTACTTAAATTATAAATGAGGCTGAAAAAATTTATGCTATAGATTTTTGCGGGGAGGGGTTCTTTTTGAGACAGGGTCTCACTATGCAGTTCAAGGTTGGCCTTGAACTCACTTTGTAGCCCAGGCTGGCCACTTCAGCAATCCTCCTACCTCAGCCTCCTGAGTGCTGGGGATATAGGCATGTACCACAATGCCTGGCTTATGCTACAGATTTCACCAATTGAAAATGCTATCTTGGGCCAGGGATATAGCTCAGCGGCATAAATGCCTCCCTGGCCAGCGCAAGGTCATGAGTTCGATTCCCAGTACCAAAAAAAAAAAAAAAAATGCTATCTTACTTTCCAAGTACCATAATTAAACTAAGAATTATTATTTTCAACTTTTTTAATTCATCAAACTAAAAAAAATTATTATTAGAAAGTGGTAGTTATTTTTCATTTATGTAACAGGGGATTAAAGTTACAAGATAAGCAAATGCCAAGATCACAAATACTATTTTAGCTAAAATCCCACTAGGGGAATTATAACAGCAGCAAAAAACAGGTAAGAGAAAATAAAGGATGGAAAAAAGCTACAAGAAAGAAAACAAAAGAGCAGTGCCAGTGTTGATGCTAAGAAAGCACTATGAAGGTGACTGGTAATTCCAGAATACTAAGCCGGGTGTGGTGGTACATGCCAGGTATGACGTATTGCCAGCACTTGGGAGGCTGAAGCAGGAAGACTGCTGTGAGATCAAGGCCAGCTTGGGCTATCTAACAAGTTCAATGCCAGTCTGAACTACATGGGAGACCCTGTACCTCCTCCAAAAATATATACTGGTCCTGTCAAGTTCAAGTCCAGTCTGAATTACATAATGAGACCTTGGCTCAAATAATAAATAAAAAAATACTGCTCCTGTCAATTACCTCCAATTTCTTTTCCTGGTTCTGCATGTTATACCCATTCAGTTCTTTAAAAATAGCTGACATAGCCATTCATAAGGAAATTCACCTATAGTTCATAATTTTTAAAAAAGAGCAAAACATCACAGCCAGGCATGGTGGCACACCCTTGTAATCCCAGCATTTGGGAGACTGAGTCAGGAGGATCATTCTGAGTTCGAGACAAAGTGAGCTCAAGGCCAGCCTGAGCTCTATAGCGAGACGCTGTCTCAAAAATCCAATAACTAAGGGGCTGGGGATTTAGCTCAGCGGCAAAAGCGCCTGCCTGGCAAGCGCAAGGTCATGAGTTCGGTTCCCAGTACCGGAGAAAAACCAAA